TAGTGAAGAGGCATTTTGATTATAGCAAAAACAGGTACTCGGAAATCAGATCTGACAGAACATTATATGTCTTGTAGACAATGCTTACTTAATTTCAACTTCCGAACTATTTTGCAACACATCTCATTTTAATAGATGGTTGTTAAAAATTCATGTGAATGCATAAAGAATTTTAAAGTGAATTGATAACATTGGCGACCAACAGAGAAACCTTAAAGTAAAAGAAGAACTTATGGTGGGAAAAAAGAGAAGACAGCCTGTCCGCACCTTCAACCCGGTCATATTTTTTTGGGTGCATTTCTCTACAGAATCCTCATCAACCAACAGCATTCATGATGCAAAGAGCATGGAACTTGGAGGCTGGACAAGATCATCAGTGGTCTTGGGTTTCAAGTTCCCACTCTGCCAGTGGCTATTTGACCTTAACCAAGTCACTAGTCTTGCTGGGCCTCTATTTCCTCATCTGTAAAGCAAAGGTTGGGTGAAAACTCCTTCAAACTCAGAAATCCTGTGATCTGTGATGTGATTTATGTGACTAAACTCTCTTTGTGTGAATAATGTCATTCTATCAATGGAACCGAGCCTTCCTTTGGTGAAGGACAGTCTGCCTTCTCTTACTTCCGGTCTGATGTACACTCACCCTCTTTCTCGGTAGCTCACAGACATGACTCTTGCAGAGTCAGCTGTCTCCTCATCTATAAAGTGATATCTACTATGTCTTCACTAAGTTGGTTTCCTTCCATCCTCCATTCTATCCAGTTTTCTACGCAGTATTTAAATTTTTCAGAAGTTCTCTTCTTTGATAAAAACTTAAAAGAAAAGAAATAAAACCAAAACAGAGATGGAAGGAACACACAAATTAAGAGGCTTAAAAGAGATCTCAAACAATCACAGTGCGTTAACTTCACCTGGATCCTGATTCAAACAAGCAGATTTGAAAAAAATTAAAAAAGACATTTATGAGACAATTGGAAGTTGGAACACGGTACATATTGGATCTTAAGAAATAATCATTAATTATTTCAGGAGTCATAACGGCGTTGTCGTTATGTTTTAAAAACAGTTCTTATCTTTTAAGGACACATACTGAAATATTTGCAAAAAAATGATCTCATGCTGGCGGGTAGTTAGTGAGTGATGTTATAGAGGGAACAAGTTTGGCCGTGAATTGACAATGACAGAAATTGAATGATGGGTATATGGGAGTTAACTGTACTCTTTGGTCTACTCTTGTGTTTTATAGTTTCCTTAAAAAAAACTGTAAAGAAAAAAGGCTTAATGGGGATTCATCCTAATGAGGCACATTTGCTGAGGTGTTAGAAAGAGCTGCTTGTCATAGTTGCATAATCGTTGGGGGTAAATATGGAAGTTCATCAATCAGAAAGGCTATGGTGAGGAGCTGTTGGCAACGGGCCCAGCTCTGTGTAGCTGTCATCTAGCCTCTAGGCCAATTTGCCCTCTATAAATACCAGTCTTTATGAATGCTTTACTATTTTAATGCACATTTGCCACAGCTGCGGAGCATGTTTGTTTACGTAGCTGTGAACCCTTCTGTAAACATCACTGTCTCAAAATTGCCCATATGTCAGGAACATAAAGGGCTCCCTTTAAAAATATATTTGCAAGATGAGACATGGCCAGTTCCCAGATGTCTGAGTGGCTGGTGTCAGAATTTTCTGGGGTTGGATTCATTTTCAAAAATAGAATCGCATGACCGGAGGGTTCTTGAGAGGTCACCATGAGCATCCTTCTGACTCTGGGCAGGACCAGAGAGAAGCCATCCACCAAGGATGTGGGTCTGTCTTTTGTGGGTGTGAGTCTGTCTTTTATGAGGCCAGAGAACTCACTGAGTGAAGGACTGGGGCCAGGACCCGCAAGGCATCAAGGATGGGCAAGACTCATATCCTGCCTTCAAGGAGCTTACCTCCATTTTCTAGAAATGAGCCTGACTCTGAGCAATGTGACAAAGCAGGCTTGCGTGGTGCAGCTGGCATTGGAATATAGTGCGTCAACAGAGCACCAACTGGCTGGTGCTGTGCCTGAGCACCCAGCAGAAGGACCCCGGTGGTCAGCCTACTGCAGGATAGCTCAGCTCTCCAGAAAACACCATGTCGGATCATTGTGTGTCCACACTGTGCACGACAGGAAGAGGGCACCTTGTAGAGATGGCAGTGTGGGGCTCATCCTTGAAAGAGGCCCACTAACTGAGATCACTGATAGTAGTTTAAGGTCAATTAAGACACTTTTGAAAGAAGGGAAGAGTAAGGTGAAGCCATTTTGTGTCAGTTTGCTGTTTCCATGGCTCCTGACTTCCCATCTAGCCCTACAATGAATAATTAGATCCCTGTGAGTTTATTTTACTCAATGTGCATTCTGTCCACTTTTATTTTTTTCCTGCGGTTTTGACTCATTGAAGCATTCTCCCCCAACAAGGGCCTGTTGAATGCCTATAAATCCCAAGTGTGCTTTTCATTGACAACGAAAAAGCATCCTGCTGAAGCTTGGGAGATCAGACGTGCTGAAAGTGCTGAATTGTATGAATCCTATCAGGAAAAGATCAAGACATGTCCAGCTTCTAGGTAAACCCAGAACTTTCTAGAACACTCCTCCCTCTGCTTTCCAGAAATTAAAAAAAAAACTACTTTTTTCTTTTAGAAAATTAATAGTGGTTGCCTTTTCCCAGGAATGAGGTTCGGGGGCGAGGGGAGAGAGGAGGGGTAAGCCTTTTGATTCTTTTTGCTGGCGACTACCCAGTTTTCTGTAAGAAAGCAGTGGAAAGGCCACAGAATGCTCGAGGGAAGTATCACTGTTAATTACCAAGAAAACAATGTTCCTCTTTTTGGAAAGGCTCGCTCATTACAAGCTGTCATCAGAACGACAGGGTCTGCCTCAGGGAGAATTCTCATTCGGGGACATCACAAAGATAATTCTCTTATACCAGATTTGTTTATTTTTTGAGATTGGGCTTTGGTTTGAGGGAACATGAAGCTCCTGCAATTTGAAGCTCGAGTTAACACCAGCAACCAGAGGGTACATCTTCAGAGGCTTTTGCTTCTTGAGCTCAGAGACCCAAAGGTAACGAGGCTTGTCCATTGCCCTCTCTCATGTCCTAGTGGGAGAGTTTATAGTGAGAAATCTAATATTAAAACTGTGTCAGGAGTGGTCAGTTTATGCCTCCAGAGGCTGGATCTCAGTGGCCACCACTAGGGGGATCACCAGAGTCCCTGTGCTCAGCGAAGGTGGGCGAAGTTTCCGGTTTGTGGGAAACCGACAGGGCTCCCTGTTGCAATTGTTCCTCCCCCTCCCCCGTTCCTCCTCTCTTCTTCCTCCCACTCATGCAACTACTGCCTCAGGAGTCCACTCAAAAGTCAGGCTCAAGGTACAGACAGCCCTGTTCACAGGCACTGCACCTATTTAGCATCTCACAATAATTATTCTGTTATTCTTTAAAGCCATTTTAGAATTAGGTCCATATTCCTTTTGTTCTATGGAAAAGAGCATACTCATATCATTGAGTGCCATGCAAAGTTGTTTACTCATATTTTCATTGTTTGCTGCATTTAAAAAACCTATTGCAGGGGCCAGCCCAGTGGCCTAGTGGTTAAGTTTGCGTGCTCTGCTTTGGCAGCCCAGGGTTTGCTGGTTTGGATCCCCAGTGTGGACCTACACACCGCTTATCAAGCCATGCTGTGGCAGGCGTCCCGCATATAAAGTAGAGGAAGATGGGCATGGATGTTAGCTCAGGGCCAACCTTCCTCAGCAAAAAGAGGAGGATTGGCGGCAGGTGTTAGCTCAGGGCTATCTTCCCCCAAAACAAAACAACAAAACAAAACAAACCTATTGCAAAAGTTTCTACCACCATAAGAGAAATCTGTTAGAGGTTATGACCTTACCTTTTGGGTACAGAGACATGAGACCAATGACTTTCATTTGAAGGGATGACTAGGGTCAGGTTACGGGTTGATGAAGAATTTGGGGCCAGGCAGTTGGCCATGTGTTTTCAGGTTACATAAACCAACCCTGAGCCTCAAGTTGAAGACTTCAAAGCACAGGAGGGCAGATTGTATAACTAAAGAGGATCCAAGGCTCACATCAAGAACTCAGAAGAACAGTGAAGAAAGTCATGAATTAGGGTTCTGGGTTATACTCCTCCTGTGGGGCACTACTGTTAGCTTAAGTCAGAATTTATGGCTCTGTTTTGTGGAACGTTACAGATTAATGTGGCAGAGCCTGCTTTACTTTTGGGATGTATAACACGTGTCAAGTTCAGATATGAGTGAACACTTCAATAAAAACAGACCATTTCTCTATTCTGAGAACAGATCATCTTCCCTCAAACACACCAATGATTAGCCATTAGCAGCAGGAGGGTCAATAGGGTTTTCAGGGTTTTTTTCTTGCTCGCTAGAGTTATTTACTGGGTCTACAGTATTATGCCCACTTGGGGTTCAGCAGGTAGAGTATGGAGAAGGACAGCAAGTGCTCACTTGACAAAAGAAAAATCAATGCTGTGGGTCTTGCAAATAGCTCCCAAAGAAGGGGTGAAATCGCATTTTTATTAAAGCAATTTGTCAGAGTTCCTTTGAAAGGCTTAACTTCTTCCTTCTGGCTTGGTGATTAATAACCTCAAGTATTTAAATTAAGCAATGTTTTAGAGGTATTCATAAAGTGCTTTAGAGACAGGTCAAATTTTAATTTAATTTAATATTTGGAAATTTAAAATATATTAAGTGGTGTTTTAAAAAAATTGTTTATTAATTTATTTTCCAAAGAACCTTCAAAAAACTAAATGGTTAGACTTCTTGGTGGATATGCTTAAGGTTATAGGACACATAGACATATTGTTTCATGAAGCAAGGGGATGCTGTTAATAGTAGTGAGTGAGATTCAGTTTTCCATATTTTGTCATAAATAAGATCATTGGGTTTAAGTGAGTTTTAAACATCCAGTTTAAAATGAGCATCGATCCCACAGACATCACAGGATAGAGCACACCTTACCTGTGGCTTCCACCATTCCTTCTAGGATGACCACAATTTCCAGTTCCTCCTTGGGTAGCTGGGCCTTGGAGATCTCCCAGAAAGGACTCTGTTGGTTAATTTCGTGGCTGATGATGAGTGGTGACACCAGAAACAGACGGTCATCCCCGGTGTAATAGCCTACGTTGATGTCCGTCTGGTTCAAGGGGATGAACTCCCCCTCCGAGGTCTGTTTGGATTTGATCAGCTTGGCTCTGATGGAGGCCTCCACAATGTGGGAATTCCTAAGATCCCCGACTCGGAACATCAGGCACAGTTTCCCATCCCGCATGGAGATTACCGCGTGGGTGGAAAACACCAGGGTCTCTGCCCTCTTCTTGGGTTGCGATATTTTTACAAACATGCATCCCACCATGAATGCATTGACAATGGACCCCAACACAGATTGGATTAAGAGGAGAATAATTCCTTCTGGGCACTTGTCCGTGATGACCCGGTAGCCATAACCGATGGTGGTTTCTGTCTCTATTGAGAATAAAAAAGCAGAGACAAACCCATTTAGGTTGGTGACACAGGGAGTCCACGAGGGGTCCTCTATGTGGTCCATATCTCCTCGGATGTATGCGATTAGCCACCAGATCATCCCAAAAAAGAGCCACGTCACTGTGTAAACCATGACGAAAATCAACAGGTTGAATCTCCACTTGAGGTCTACTAAGGTGGTGAAGATATCAGTCAGGTAGCGGTAAGTCTCCCTGACGTTGCCATGATGGACGTTGCACTTCCCATCTTTCCGAACGTACCTCTGGATTTTCCTTTTGGTCCGGTCTCGGCTGATGTGTCTTGGCAGGTCATCCCTGGCCTGCTTAGGCAACTTTGGCTGGTGAATGGCCACAGGGCTCTCGACATCCTGATCCATGGAGTCGCCCTCCAGGACGTTAGCTGGTGGTTGGGAGAAAAGAAAAGAAAGAGCGAATGAGATGCTGGATCTTTGGGGACCATGGAAACTGCACTGTGTATGCTATACGGTAGTGAAACCAAATGCCATATGTGTAGCTATAAAGAGAGTAGATGAAGCCATTTTTATTTGGTGTCATCTGGACAGGCTCTAGTTGACTTGGACTCCTGTGCTCTTCTATCTACTTTGTGTAAGTACTTCACCACCCTTCCCACCAGGACAGAGCTTACTGCGGTGAGACTGTTTCCCTGCCAGCAAGCTCTAAGAGGCAGCTCTCAGAGCGAGACGTCTCCCCCCTTTATCTGACGTGCCATGGCACTGGAGAGGCAGTGCAGTCTGGGTGCTCAACCGTTTGCATTCAGACAGTCTTGGTTCTACCACTTAACAATTGTGGGCTCTCGGACGCTATATGTTGTGGACTGAATTGTGACCTCCCCCAAATCCATATGGGGAAGCCCCAACCTCCAATGTGACTGTTTTTGGAGAAAGGGCATTTAAGGAGGTAATTAAGCTTAAATGAGGGCATAAGGGTGGGGCCCTAATCTAACAGAACTAGTGTCCTTACAAGAAGAGAAAGAGACACCAGGGGCATGCACACAGGAGAGGCCACGTGAGGACACAGTGAAAGGTAGCCATCTGTAAGCCAGCAAGGAAGGTCTTCCAGACCAACCAAGGTCACCAGAAACCAACCCTTCTGGCGTCTTGATCTTACACTTCCAGCCCCCAGAACTGTGAGAAAATAAATTTCTGTTAAGCCCCCCAGCCTGTGGTATTTTGTTATGGCAGTCTGAGTAGACAAATACACTATGCAAATTCATTGACCCTCAGTTTCTGCATTTGCAAAATGGCGGCCACGACACCTAATTTGTGGGGTTGTTAAGTGAAACCACATGTGTGATATGTGCCCACGTGCAACAGACAAGTAATCAACATTCCTTTGTAACAAATTTTTTCTTTGCTACTCTCCTCGTATCTGGGGAAAAAATTTTGAGCAAGGTCTTTAAATTGTCAGTCAAATTTCAGAGTTAAAAAAAAATTCTGGTTTTTGTTGGTAAGTGTGTACCCATTATACTCTGTTGGTTGATTCAATGCCAAGGTTAAAAAAATAACCTTGTGGGGCTGGCCCTGTGGCCTAGCGGTTAAAGTTTGGCATGCTCCACTTAGGCAGCCCAGGTTCATGGGCTCAGATCCCAGGTGTGGACCTACACCACTCGTCAGCCATGTTGTGGTGGCAACCCACATATGAAATAGAGGAAGATGGGCACAGATGTTAGCTCAGGACAAATCTTCCTCAGCAAAAAAAAAAAAAAAAAAAAGAAAGAAAGAAAGAAAAGAAAAAACCAAACAAACACCAAACAAAAATAACCTTGTGGGGAAATGTTCTCTCTCTTTCTACGTGTTTACACATTTGATTTGGTTTCTGCTTCACCATGTAACATCTGCCATTTTGGCTTGTGGTTGTTTTCTCTCTGATGGCCTTCATGATTAATGCATCGGTGCAATCATTAGTTCATGATGCCTTAGGAAAACTGTCCTACAATCTGAATGCAAAGGGAAATTTGGAACTGATACTGCCGTTAAACACATATACACCGCTGTATGAAATTACTTGTTCAACCAATAACTTTAAGGCTTTCTAAAAGTTTGATAAGCAGTTCCCTCCCCCAGGCTTTCATTCTTTGTGCCTTGACTCTGCCATGCGTTTCTTGTGTGGTAACAATGCTTTCCCCCTGGTTAATGGAGAAATGTAGTTTGCTGAGAAAGCATTTCTCTGAATCAGAAAATAGCTGGGAATGGGTCCGGAGTGGTACCCACTTAACTTATGCATTAACCTTGCTCACGGTTGGTTAGCTTCCTTAAAAATCAGTCCCATAGATCTGTTTTTGTATCTCGGCACAAGGAAGAGACCACATCTGGTCTGTAGAATCTGCTGTTGAGTTTGACAACTTTGACTTTTAGATCATTGCTCTCAATAGCCCTTCGTGTGCAAATGAGAAACTTTCTTTTCCCCCCTTCTTCTTCTTAGAACAGACGCAGGACAGGAGTCAAAGGGAAGCAGCTGAGGCGGGGACAAGATGGAGGTGCGTGGAGTATCTGGATGGAGGTCAAAGGCAGTGTCCCCGCTCATCGCCAGCACTTGCTACAAGGCGGGATATTTTTGGCCCGGAGTGGTCACATCTGAGCTCTCATTGCTAATTTTGCTCTGAGTGGGCGTCTCCAACGATGACTTCATGTGGGACAAACTCAGGGCTCAAACCCTGCCAGGTTGGAGAGGCCTTGTCTGCAGGCTTGGTGTATGGTCTGGCCTTGACCCCGGTGGTAAGCCTGGCGACTGCAAAGCCACCCTGAACCCTTGTCTCTTCCAGTCCTTCAGTGGAAGAAGAAGATTTGTCAGGTTGGCTGCATTTTTACAGTCTTCCGTGATATTCCATACTTAAAACGTCCTGGAGGAAATCTACACTTCCACCCTTCCCAACCCCCCCAACTTGAAGCTGCTTCCCAGCTTTTCTAGCTCAGCAGTCACCTTCCAGCTCCAGGTGTTTGTCCTGAGCTGGAGAAACCTGTCTGAAGGGTTAATGAGAGAGTAGAGTTAAGGCGTCTGGGAAGTCCTGGGAGCCTGCCAGTTGCTCCCCCACATCAGTTTTTTCCCTTTTTCTAGCTCAGGACTGAAGCACATTTCTGGCCTCCTTCGCATTGGGGGCGGCCATGTGCCGAGTCCTGGCTCATCTGGAGGGGGTGTGCCCTTCCGGGCCAAGGCCTTGGGTAGTGGATGCGCCCCCTGCTATGCCCTTGCCCCTTCTATGGGAAATGACAGAGTCACAAAGCAGAGGCTCTGAGTCCCCAGTTGATGGCAGAGAGCTGCTATCCAACTAGAAACAAGGAAAAAATCATTGTGTTTGAGCCATTACGTATTTTGTGTCTGTTACCAAATTGACCCATATCTCTAATGTTACTGGCAGCAATACCGACAGGAAGAAGCAGAGAGAAGAGTGACTAGGGGGACCAGTGTGGGAAAGAGCAAGGAGAGAGGAGGAGAGTGAAGATGGAGTGTTGAGTTGGTGTCTATAATGAACGAGCAAGTGGGTAATCGAATGCTTCTGTTTGGTGTTGGGGGAGAACGTAAATGCATATGCTATTAAGTGCCTTTTAAATACAAACAAAAATGAAAGTGAACAAAGAAAGCCAAACCTCCTCGGGAGTGTGGTGGGAAGGTGGCCTCAGAGGTGCTCCTGCAGGTGAGGCCGTGGATGCAGGCACAGTGCATCCATGGGAAAACGGGAAGGGGCGCAGAATATGTCACCCCAAATACACCTCTTTGGCATACTGGTTATTTTGAATTAAATGTACTCAAGAAACAGCTGGTGCAAGAAGGACACCTGACCCTCCTTTGTCCTCCTGAGAGCAGGGGATCAATCTCCCGTGTGGCAGCGACCCTCCCTGGACCAGGAGGAGAGAAGGCATCCTCATCAGCAGAGGCAGGGAATTGAGGGCAGAAAAGCCTGTATATAAAACACCTTGTTCACTAACCCACTTCTTCCTAGTCACTTCACCATTACCCATGGCCCAAACCCCTTCGGCTTGCCAATTCTTCAGAATTTAATGTTTCTGTCTAAAAGATACAAAAGCTTCCTGCTCTGGTCACTTCTTTGGGTCTTCATTCTCTTATGAGGGCTCCTGTGTACACGTAAAAATTCAATAAAATTTGTATGCGTTTCTCCTGTTAATCCGTCTTATGTCAGTTTAATTCCTAGGCCCAGCCAGAGACCCAAAGAAGGGAGAGGAGAATTTCTTCCCCTCTAAGATGGGGAGATAAGCCTGGGGGTCCAGCGTAGGAGTGATTGGTGGGGAACAGGCACAGAGTTGAGAGAAACCAACCACAGGACCAATGGCCTGTGAGAGCGCCGCGAGAGAAGAGGCTGAAATAGGAGGCCCAGGGGGCAGGAGGGGCGAGGCCAGGGAGGAGGCGGGGGCAGAAGAGGGGACGGAGCCTCGAGGCTGTGTCCAGAGCGATGGCAGGGAGCCATCCAGGTCTGAGCCGCGAGCAGCCTCAGCATCCGGTTCGCACGCATGCAAGTGCGTGCCGGGGAAATACAGAGGGAGTGTTAAGGATGACTCGGAACGTTTCTTTCTTTCTTGCAATCCCAGGTGTGAATTTGAGGGGGTGATCTGAATTGCATTTGCAAGAGCATTTTGAGCTGCTCAGCAGGGAAGCTGCAGCTGCGGTTGGAAAAGCAGACTTTTCTCCCTATGTTCCTTCACAGCCCGTGGCACAAACAGCTTTCACCACCCTCGACTCCCACGGCCCGCACGCCCTCTGGGGACCTTGCCGTGGAACTCCCGGCCATGCGCATGCGCGTTGGCCACGCAGTCAGACCGTCGCCCCTCTGGTCCTCCAGCATCGTGCACTGGCCTGGACCAGAGATAATGTGGAAGAACTCTCTGCTAACTGGGACGTGCTGGGCAGCTTGCAAGAGGACCGGAGGAGAGGCGCCGAGGATCTTGATGATTTAATTGACTCGAGTTGCTGTTTTGGATTTTGGCTTTGAGTAAATGGAGCCTTTGTGAAAAAGCCAGTTTTTTATTTTCTCCCTATCTGGTTTCTTTTTTCTCTTTTAGAAAGATGATCAGTTTGCATAAAACTAGCGAAAGTGCGAAATAGCCTGGTGTTGAAGTTTAACCTGAAAGAAGAAATAACACATGAAGATTCACAAGCTGGAAGGGGCCTGGCCCTTGAATCATGTCGTGGAATTTAGGGTGCAGAGCTTGTGGGGCAAGGCTGCCTCTGTGCTGGCCCTGGCCGGTATACTTGTTCTCCTCATGGGAAATTCTTGCATTTTGAATTATATATGAATTTTATGGGTGAAATTACCAGTATCTAAGAAAATGTTCGAAGGATTCTTGGAGAATTTTTAATGTCATGGGAATAACCTAACAGAAAAACAGATCTCAAAAGCACATACAAGGTCAAGGATTGGAAGGAAAT